GCACCGTACTATACACGTCGAGATATAGCGTGTAGTGCCGTACCAAGGGTACAGTACAATCAAATCTCACTGAGCTGCAGCTGGCGTCGAGCGAGAAAGGAGGCTCTTCCAAAAAACACCCTACTGTCACGGAGCGCTCCCTCGTTTACAGTACAGTATTCAAGACGTCATAGCACAGTGTGTGCTGTCACCATCAGGTGCAGATCAAATATGATGCAATGCCCCAAACTACATCATCATATTTCCATTCTGATCCAGCATTATGTAATCACTATAGTGGCCGGTTGGATACCGCGTCATACAGTACGGAATACAGTGCTGAATACAGCAATGATAGCTTTTTTTGTATATTTTTGTCATTGTTCTCTACTTTTCGCTCTAGAAGTAGACCATTACAGTAGAGCTGTCCTCAACGCGTATCATGTTTCTAGTACTGTAGAAACTTTCTACAGAAGATCTCTAGTCCTGACTTTCTCTCCCATTATCATACTTGTAGTTTCTACGCTCTCAGTCACCTCTCATGAACATCCGTCTCCCTTGCCTCAAAAACTGCCAACTCGATACGTGTAGGGCATCCATTTCGTTTTCTTTCAACGATTTGTCTCGGGCCTTGTCTACAAGATGTGTGCAGAGTGGCCTATATGTTGTGTGCTTGACATCAACCACACAACATATTCATATCTTCAAACACATCCCATCCCTGCTCGTTTGTTGGTTGAAAAGAACAGCTCGAATCCTCTCATCATCAATTATACAATAAGAGCGCTAACTTTTTACTAATGCCTAAAACACCTCCTCCTTTGTTAACGCACTCTCAGTTGAACATTGCACAAATCAGCACCAAACCTTATTTCTCCCTCCTACCCTCGCTATTCATACAGTATCACCATGCACGTCACCTCCCGTTAATTACAGTCGACATCAAAAGTGCTTTTCAATTCAATAACACTAGCACTCTTCCTGCTACAGTACTTGAAGCCTGAGACGACACTTTCACCGACCGAAACAAAAAACACACTGCGTCAACTTGAATTACCTGAACAAAGCACCCAATCTCGACCAATGCGGCAACGAGAAAAAAATTTAGTTCGAGGGAGAAAAAACTGTCCTGCCCCGCAAAAGCCAACACAGGAACAAAAATCCTTGCAGAGAGAAAGTCTTGCCCTGCTCCTCCCTCATACACGTACGTACACATATCGTACTCATGTGAGGTACGATATGTGTACGTGCAAGATACACCCGTATGGATTTAGCAGCACGCAAACTTGTCGACGCAACAAACCACAGTTTTCGGTCCCCCTCCTGCCGAGGTAAGCGACAACAACTTTTCAAACCGGAACCTTCACGATGATGCTGCAAACGAATCAAGACCATACTATTGTCCTTAGGGGGCGTCCTGATCAGCCCACGTGTGAATACAATGCGACATGTTCGCCAAGAAATAGAGAAAGAGAGGTGACAGGCGACATTATTACATCAATGATTCTTGTTCACCGCATGCAACCACCAAGGAGAGTGGTTTTACTCTCGTTCCCAGTTATTGTTTATCGTGCAACCTTTTGTTACTCCGTAGTTCCCTTTCGAAGATAGTATAAGTAGGATGCCATTCCCCTACGTTTAGTGAAGAGGACACATCTTTAACTTACCAACATAAACCCCACAAGCTTTACTTCAAGGCCAACACTCCGGATACGTCAGCGCCGTTTGCGCTGCCACCCCCCGACGAGAGTGTTACTCTTGTTTCTGTCCCGTCCGTTTGACGGGTAACGAACTACGCTTGTGTAACTACAACGTGCACCATGGACGATAGAACGATAGATGCGCTGCTGCCCGCGAGCACAATCCGTCGTGGCCGGATGGGGAAAAAAAAATACAATTATCACCGAAAATTCCCAAAAGGCCAAACCAGAATACAGATGTCATTTTCGACAATCGCTGGTGTAGTTATGAGTCCGTCGGGCTCGAGACCACCGTACCGATTGCATTGTAACTTTACCTGTGTTGCGAACGTCTACATATAGAGTGGAGGCTGTATCGTTCAGTACGATACTAATCGTCCACTGTTGGCAGCCAACGTCAGCAGACAAGGGTACTGTTGTCATCCTCATCAATGTCCGTCCCCATCGCCATCTGCAATGCCCAACTTTGCTGTCGCCTCACAACTCGATTTTTTCGTATTGTACAACGGCCAGCTACCCGAATCTCTGCTGCAAGACCACGACTCACATGCTACTGTGCGAAGCAGGGCTCTCCCCGATTGAATGACAAGGCAACTGTGGCATTAGCATCGCCGTCTCAAAATTGTTCAGTTGCCTGGTCCCGTTCGTATCCATAGCATGGAAGGCAACTTTTTGGCAGTCTGCGCGCGGGAAACGTTATAGATAGCTATCCCTGCCATGTTAATGTCCGTCGCTTTGCAATCTGTTGAAGATATTTTACGACAACCTACAGTGATGACAGGTCAACTCCGCTGAATTCCTGCATGACCTTATCCTCCGTGAAGTGCAAAAAGGGCACATGCCTGCACTAAAAGCACGCTGGAATACTAAAAGAAAAAAAACGGCAACCAATACATGGATGATAGAGTGTCACTGAAATTTCAACTCGGGAGGATTTGCACGCCGCGATTTTGAAGTACTGTATTATATTTAGTAACTCTGGGCATTGGGAAGCCAACAAGGTCTCGGACCTAATTTGCATGCCCATCGTTCAGAAGGTCTATTGATACCTTAATTGAATGGTGTAAAACAACTATGGCGGAGCTGTTCCATTTTCATTTATCCACCATGAATGGCAACGATCGCGCTGGTCGGTAAACAACGGTGCTGGTCTTTGATGCCAGACAGGAAATCGGAATAGAAGCTGGACACCGTCTAGTCCACGGCTGGCAAGGCATCCGGTTTCATAAACACATGCGAGCCCTGCGTATGTTCGGTCGGGAACCAGGGCCTTAAATAGATGCAGATACAGTGGATCCTCGCTAACTGCATGTTCGGTTTCTGCATATTCTCGATTACTGTGCGTTCGTCAGGTACCGGCTGCGGAGCAGCGATTCCAGCGTGGACATGATATTGAACTGCATACCGCATAACTGCATGAAGAAAGTGATCCTTAATCATATCGAACCCTCATACAAAGGCTTACTATGAAACAAGTAAAACTTATGACAACAGATATGCAGTGCTTCGCCACCGCCATCGGTGCTCATCACCGCCGCCGGACCCGGATATCTGATTTTTTGAATAAAAATGAGGCGTTTGGACACTTCGACAAGTGCATATGTTCGCCAACTGCATACGAAAACCCTCCACTTTTCATATGCAGTTAGCGAGGATTCACTATAGGACTTTATATCGCGATCATACTACGGGGTCTGAGTATCTTTGATGCAATGATGGCATCAGCGTAGGACAATGGATAGAGAAACTCAGAGGATGCACTTACACTGGCGATGAGGCAATCACACTTAGAGTCAAGTGACTTGACCCCACGTCACAGTTCAACATGCACTTGCTACAAAACGTGCAGCGTTGCAATTACGTGGCCGTTCCCAGTATATCTTCATGTACCCTTCAAAGGGTACTGGAACTGCTCGTCATCCGCTTGAAACCTTCACCCTTTGTTACGTCATCCGCTTGAAAAAGTGAAGGGTGTTCATGTTCGCGTCTGCCAAGTGCTTGCCGTGGAAAACCGCACGGCACTTTCTAAAATCAGACGGCAGTTCGAAGGGGGTACAATGTACAGACCAGCAAGTCGCATTAAAAGTGCCCAAACTCAAGTTCGGTCTGCTTCGGCGATAAAACTAGTTCGACGTACAGTACTAGCCTGATAGGTGGCCATGTGTACTAATCTCCGCATAAAAGACCAGGAGTGAATATTCCGACGCCCGGGTGAGAAGTATCTTGTATAAAGGCATGGCCGAAAACATCTTGTGAGCGATGAGAAAATAGTTTTTCAGGTGTCTCCCTCCTCTATGTCTGCCGTCTGCGACGTTTCCAAGGAGACAGCAATAAAACAATCGCACAATACTGTACCATGATAGAGAACTTTGAGGAGAGCCAAAGGAGTTGGCCTCGATACCTGCATCTTAAATGGCTCTCTTCATGGGGCTTGCATACATGACAAAAATTCCTCTGCCAATACTATACAGTGGACAGGACATGCTCAAGCCTCATTCGTTCACAGGCGGTTTCTGGATCTCTTGTAAACCAGTGCCAAACATCGTGAACAGGTAGATACAACATCTTCTCGCCCACGGTAAGTAGGAATTGTCCCCCTCTTTCTTGTGACTCATACGCTCTCAGATACGATGTACAACGCATACGCCATTCATTTGCACACAACTTTCATACTTTGCGAGATGCAAAGCAACTGAACCTACGGCCAAACGTAGGGGCTTCGCGCATCTCAAAAGCGGCATCTAGGCTCCCGCCGCAATGCCGACCAAAACGGCAACACTAACGGCCAACACGACCGCCACGACCGCCGCGACAGCCGCGGCCTTCGCCCCCCTCCTGCGCACTTCCACAAACGTAACAACCCCCGTCGCGCCAGAACGGTGTAGTACAACAAGCGGAACGAGCCTCGCCCCCATCAAAACGCCAAACACGCATCCTCCAAAATGCGCCCATCCATCAACGGAGGGCATGAGCCAGCCCCCTGCAAGATTCAGGGCGGTAGCAAGCGCGACTAATTTCAGGTTCTCTCTTGCAGCGGGGCCGATGGGCTTGCGGTTGCGCTCCAGGTGCACGCACATAGCGGCGATGAGGCTAAACACGGCGCCTGAGGAGCCGACAGAAGGACGCGACGATGTTGCCGAAGCGAGCAAGCTCGCGAGATTTCCGCCGACGGCGCCGGCGACGTATATAGAGAGGAATGCGGAACCTCCGTAGAGTATCTCCGCGGCGCTGCCGAGGGCGTACAGGGCGTATGAGTTGAAGAGCAGATGGCGGAGATTGACGTGCAGGAAGGCGGCGGTGAACAGACGCCACAGCTGCCCCGTGAGGATTTTGGTGCTAACTTTAGCGCCAAGTGTCTGGAGATTGGGAAGGCCTGCACCGTAGGGGGTTACTCGAAAAAGAAGCAGCGAGAGCTTCTGAAAGATTAGAACACTGGCGTTGAGACCGATAATCTAGTTGGGAAAGGACATATAATAAGGCAACGGATAAACATTGTTAGCAAATTGAAAGGAAAACCGACGGCAGGCCATGGCGAAGCACACGCAATGACATGATAAGCCGAGGGCAACGTACAACATAAGTCCAGACTGGGCGTCGTGCATGAATTCTGAGTAACGTTTTCTCTGGTCGTGTCGGCACTAGGGCACCCGGCGGCTGGGCAGCATCGTCTGCGCTAAGCTGTGCAGCCCTGATAATGACGCGGGCAGCGTTGTGGCAGGTAGCCGGCCTGCGTCGACGGCGTGTGCAATGCGAGATAAGCGTGGTATACCTCCCTTGCCAGAAGGGGTGCATAGGCCGGGGCGCCGGGTGGATGTGGAAGAGAGGCGGTCCCGGCGGCATGGTGCCCGAGACCCTGCGGGGCTCCCTGACGGCGGGAGTGAGGGAGGTTGGTGGTGAGATGATCCCCTAATCCCCCTACAAAGGAGGTTGGGTGGGATGAGCTTGCGCTCCATGACGGGGGATTAGCACCGCAGCTGCCCTTACTTCTGTACACGTGTATACCTCAACGATGCGTCTGCCAATCACAGAGAGCCGCCTGTTCGCTTTGCTGCACCGCAAACCCGGAAAAGCGACTGTGATCTTTTCCACTCTTCAAACGAGCTAAACAGCGAACAAGGACGTTCGGTGAGAAGAGTTTGCTCTCTATGACGGGCATTAATTCTCTTAATAATCGTTTCTCATTGCGTAATTGTAACATCAGCAGTACCTATCTTTCTGAAACAGGAAGGAGACGATTGAGCAATGAGTAATCACCACAGCAGACATGACTTTCACCGCAATGATCCTGGGATGACTTATCACGACCCGGTGCAAAACATGCAAAAGTTACCTTTGCTAAGCCTCTCACCATACTGACCCGTAATGGCACTTCAGCTAGGCGGTCTTTTCTCCAGTGCAAGCAACTGTGGTAGGGAACAAATGCCTTTCAGCATTGCTTTCTCGATGCCCTTTCTCGGTCCCCTTGCATGCGACAGCAGTCACTGCAAATCTACAAAAAAATTTAGAGAAACTAAAACTTCTGACGTCGCTTGATAGAGAACCCATTCCTTGTTCCTTTCGTCGTAAAGCGCTCCTCACCGAACGAGCTAAAATGAAAAGGGGGTTGGGCGAGCAGGAACAGGTCTCGGCGCAAAGATTCCGCATTTCACGCCATGAGACGAGAAAATTTTTTACTTGCAAATTTTAGTCTTTTCCGCCACAACTCAGGAGAAGGATACCCTCGCCACTGTATTTGACTTCTACAGTACGCACTGAAAGTTTAAGGACACCTGTCCAACTTGCAGTTTTCACATGAAGACAAGGTAGAGTAGCGAACAGTAGCTCAAACGAAAGGGCAGAAAAAGTAGATCATGCAACTGCAGTTGTTTTTACAGTTTGGTATTTGAAGATATTCGCATTTTATTGGTTCTAGTCGGTCACGGAATATCGACAAAAGAGGACACACAAAGGCTGCGCAAACCATTAAACCGATCTAGAAACATAAAGAAAACATAAAGAGAAAGTAACATGATGAGATAGGAAACTACCGAGAGGGCGGCGCACCCGGGGCTGGGCGGGTAAGATAAATAGACATGGCCAGGAGAGGGGGGCTGGCAAGAGGCTCACGGTGGCGCCATAAGTACCACGGAGCATCGAGGCTGCGAGATGAGGTA